TACATATGCGTTCATTCATTAATGATGTATCAGGAATATATGATATAGCTGTATGCGCGATATATGATATATTGCGCAGCCGCAATCGGATTATGGATGCTTGCATGTAGCGTTATCAGTATTGTTTCATAGTCGCACGTGGTGCGACGAAATCCGAGGTCAAAGCAGTCGGGGTAACCGGTCGAGGGGTGACGAGAAGTCGTGGCGAGGCTCTATTGCTTTATTTCGGTGCAGGCACGTGCACCGACGTTCACAGTAATCAGGTCATCGCCTGCATCGATCGCGTCGCCAACCGGTACGAGTGAACACGTGTAATTCATAGCTAAACTATAGTTAAATACACACATGTTATAGAGAACCCTTGATTTCGAATGTTAGGATCTTGAAAAACTACTTTGGTTATACATTAAGAAAACTAATCCGTAACACGTTCTTTGAATCGTGCTATAAATGCCACTTATAATGATATCTGTTAAAAAGTATAACGAATTTCAATATGAATGTCAGGATAATTTTTATTTTTTTAATTTATCGAATTAAAAAAGGTTTGAAGGAATAATTTTTATCGTAAAAAATAGTTTACTTTTATGTTATATGTTTATTTATTAGGATTAATTTTTCTTTTTTTAAATTATGTATGTTGTGCTTATGTAGTAAGTTATTAGATATAATAAAAATATAAAAAATTATGTAATTTTTTCTAATTGAATGATTTAATATATAGTTTCTCTCGATATTTATAATTCCAATTATGAAACCTTTAAATTTCGAAAGAAAATCTAGGTCGTTGATAATCCAAGATCTATTTCATCCTTGGTTTCCTTTTTTTTAATTTTTTGCTTTTATTATAAAAAAAAATCTCGAATATTTAACTTAACAAAAATATATAAATGTACTAGAAATAAGTACACACATAATTATCCCAGAATTTTATTAAACTTTTTGAAAATTTAAAGGAGTAAAAAAATTAAATTTAAAAAAAATGTCATCATCAAAATTAGATTTCAAAGAGACATCAAAGTATTAAATTTAAGTTATGATATTAAAAATAGTAATCATTATTAAAAATTCAATTTACATATTTCTTACTATAATAGAAAATTAATCGATAAAGAATATAAATTAATTATATCTTTGTATTGTGTCTAAAAATCTTTAAATAAAAAGATTTGTTCAAAAGCAAATGATTAATTTGAAATACATATGAAGATGAAAAACTTGTAATTGAAAAATTTGCAAAAAATTAAACCATTACTAAATTAATAATTGCAGAATGATTTGATTTATTAGCAATGATCCACGTGCTGACTTTTCATCGTTCTTGCTTAACCGTTTTTATTTTAAAACGTTTCACGTACCTTCACGCGGACGTTGTTTAAGTAGTCACTTTTTACATCAAGCATTACCGCAGGTGTACACGTGTCTCCTGTGGTCAAGGTGCAAGACATCGGCTCGTGTCAGTATTATTAGACATTTATAATAAGTGAAAGTCTTATCTTCGATCCCTCGAAATTTATAAATAATTTTCTAATCACAAAGTAAAACGATGTTTCCATGCCAATAATCATTTGCTAAAGTTATTATAATATTTTCTTGAAACAAACAATATTAAAACAAATATTTTAAGATTCGAAGAACATGATTGATTTTTTGTTTAGATATATTTTATCAATTTGAATTTATAGTAATTATATATGAAAATTACAGAAAAAAAGATATGACAAATCAAATATCTTTTTTATTTTTTAAGAAAAAAATCTTAATATATACTATAATTTTTTTAAATTAAATATATTAAATATATTTTAAATTATACTCGAATACTTCGATGATATTAACATATTATGATATTGATAATATCATGCTATTAACGTTTTTAAAACTTCATTAATTTTAACACTTTATTTAAATACATTATGTTATCTTTAAATTTAGAATTGTTCTTCTTTTTTAACTATCATGATAAGATAGTCTTTTAATATCTAAAATTGAAAAATTAATATAAATAGATCTATCATGTTTTTTATGTTATGGACTATTCATAGACTTTGATATCAATTATATATAATCATATGTTAGTGTGTTAAATTTTTTGAAATAAGAGTTAATTAGAATCGTATTTCGTCAATGTAATTATCTTAATTAAATTTAATAATTGAAAGCATGATCTCGATTAAAGATTTAACTACATTCTACAAATAATGTTTCAAATGAGATAAAGTTTTATAATTCTTTTCAAATATATTCGTGAATGTAGATTAAAAATATATTATCATAAAAGTATGCATTATTGAATAAAAATATAATTTTTAAAAAAATTCTTTGTCTTATTTATTTATTTTTAAAGTATATCTACTTATGATTAACAAATAAATTAATTTTCATTCGATATTTTTTAATTTTATAATTAATTTTTAAATTAGAATTAAATTATATTTAAATTTAATAATAATAATAATCTTCATTTTAAATTATAATTTAGTAGATATCATGAATCTTATAAAATATTATTACAGATAATTAAGATATTATTAAAATAAAATTAAGATTAAGATAAAAACTAAAATATAATATCATTCAAAAATTATTATTAAATAAAATGTAACTTAAACTCTCATTGAAAATTAAATATTAGTATTTTTATCATTTTTGAATAAATATATCGTGTATAAAAATTATTTACTTAATGAAAACACTTTCACGTAATAAAACGCATCATTGATGCGTACATAAGTAGGTCATCGATTGTTGTCTGTTCGTTAAATTACGCAGATGGCTAGTATCATTATGTATTGCTGACAGGACAATTACCATGGTCGATAGACCAGGCTTGTATAACGTATAAACATAGTTTATGGAAATATGAGAATTTTCATGAATGAATTGGTCCATGAACATTTGTAAAAATCGTATATTAAAGAGACAATTATAGAGAGACATTGAAATAAATGCGGATATGCGGGTAATTGTGTAATTGTATAATTTTTGAAAATTATGCATAAATTGATTTAAATATTGTATATGTATAAAAAAAAATGTATACGTACAAAAAAAATTAATATATATGGTATCGCTTTTATTGCTACATTATGAATAAAGATAGGAGAAATAAAATTGAGAAAAAATAATCTTATCATAATTACAAATAATTAAGGATAATGTATTTAAAGATAACTTTCTAATTATACCAATTTTTTTTAAAGATAAATGCATTTTTAAACATTAAAAAAATATAGAAGATAAAAGAATAATTAAAGATATATGTAGATAAACATATAGATAGATTCCTCAAAATTTACAAATATATATATATTATAAAAAAATTTTACTAAATATTATAAATATTATTATTTTCTTGTTGCTCTTTTTTCTAACTTTATTTTCGTTTTTTTTTATTTTTGTTTTCAAATTTTTAATTTAAAAATAAAACTATTTATTATAAGTAGATATTTATATTATTTTTTCTTATAAATATATAAAAAAAAAGATATAATTTTTTTATTTTTACTAAACAAGAACAAATTTGAAAACTATGAAATATAACCATCTAGAATATTAATATAAAATCAATAATATTAATATATGACAAGATATGAACTATTAAAATTATCATATATTCATATAAGTACATTTAGAATTTTATTATTATCAAACGTATTTTATTTTTAATTAGTCTTAATCTAAATGAAAATCTCTTCTATAATATCTCTTTTAAATGATAAAGACTTTTTCTTTTCTATAAAATCTTGTCTAAATGAGTATTTTTTTTCTAAGAATTTTATTTTTCTGATTGCAGATTTTATTATAAAATGGCTCCGACTATTTACTTGTCGGAGATACCTGTTGTAAGAACATCTACAATCCCATGTTCACGACGAAGACAAAGGATTCATAATGGAGCTGTTGCAAAACAACAAAGGCTAGAAATTAGACGATTAGAAACGAATGAGTCTTCACGCGATAATGGGTCTTTGACACCACCGGAAAATTCTCTTTGGGAACCAGAAAATTCCAATGACTCCTGTGATCCGACAATCGTCAGTTCTTCCTTTCCAAATGTTTCTGCTAGAGTTCCAGTGGACACAAAGGAACATTGGAAAGTGTTCCTAGCAAGACGAAAAGGTGTAGTTTTTAATACAATTAAGTGTGCGATTGATGAACAGAAACAAAGCAAGTTTTAATAACTTTTTTATTGAGTTTATGTTTTGAATTTTTGTTAAAAGATCATTTTAAGTCATTTAAAAGAGAAGAATTTTTACTTAATGACTTTTTACTTTTGAAATTTTTAATTCTATACAAATTATTTCTAATTATTCTTATTTATTAAAAAATATGTAAAATTATGTATGTAAATTATAAAAACTAATATAAATGCGAATTAGATTATTTTTAATTAATATTTGATAAATGAAATATAATAAATTATTAAAATTTAAAACACAAAATATTTCACAAGAAACTGTTGTTCGGAATAAAAATTTTGTTATCTCTAATTCGTTATTTTAATGAAATTTCAGTATTTATTTTAGAACGATATTCATCATTCATCTTTTTACATTATCATTATAATATAATTTACATAATTTCAATAGTTTTACAAAATTAATGGATTTTTATAAAATAAATATAATTTTGATTATTTAATTATAAAACAATAATTTTAATTACAATTTTTATTTGACTTGAAATTTAAGATTTATTTAAAATTATTTAAAAGAATAATTATATAATAGATTATTCGATATCATCATCAGGTCTTCTAGATATTGTCGTACGTACTATGGCTCTGATACGACGAAACAACATTCTTCAAGAAAGAGTAAACGCTTTGCGCGCAGAGACTCGAGATTTTATTCATTCAGTATTGAACAATCCCGAAAACAAGTGTATACAACAAAGATTGGATATTATTGACTGCAAGGAAACGGATGTGACCTCGTCGACGGAGAAAACTATACCAAGACCATCGCTTCCGCCCACACCAAACTCGATAAATTCCTCGTCAAACGACGTCACGTCAACCTGTAGTAACAACGAAAACGACTCTGAACAATCTGACATCGAATCGTAATGTTTGAGAATCATGTGCAAGAAAAAGAGGTAATTCGTAAACGAAATCGAAAAGAATAAAACGATTTGAGTCATTTGATCGTTTTAAGTAGAATGATGATGCGATCGATTCTTAGTTGAACGAAACAGAATAAGAAGAATGCTATTGAAAAGAAGATTGGGATGATGCAGATGAAGTTTAATTGATAGATTTCTTAGAATGTATTGTCTTCATCAGTTCGTTATAGGGTTTATTAATGATATTGAAGTTTTAAATGAAATTTTCTGACTCTATCTGTAAGATAGTAAAATCAATAATATAATTTTTAAGTTTTTGATTTAAAATTTGTTCTTTAATATTATCAAAATTTCTTATGATATTTAAATTGATCGATATAATGTATTATCTTTTATTTATTTTTTTTATCGTTATTTTTAAAATTTTCGTATTTAAATAGTTTGTAAATTTCGTTTTATTTCGAACTACTTCTATATAATATTTTAGTCGTGAAAAATAATCCAAATAATAAAAAATGACAAAAAAGAAACCATTTTCTTATTAGAAAATATAAATAGGTAGATAGTAACTCAAAAATAACGTAATTTTAATGTGGAGCAATCATATTTCATATAATATAAATTTTTAATAATAAATATCCAAATAAAATGTTATTTTTAATTTTATAAATACAATAAGTATTTAAAGATAAATCCAATTATAATCTTCATTAATTTTTAATAATGCACATCCCATTCATCAAAAATTTTACCGAAGAATAAAGACTACTAATATTACAAATTAAAATTTAGAAATAAATAAAACTCTTCAGTCTATAAATTATTTTATATAATCAAAGAAAGATTGTATAGAATTGTACTGTAATGTATAATATAAAGAACTTGAAATTATTCTATTAGATAAAGATTATCGAGTTCTCCAAAAGTATATCAATTTATTTTTTTCTTTGAGAAAATACATTTATAGTTCGTAAACTCTATATCATTTAATCTTTACATAATAGTTGTAGAAAAACTTGCATTATCAATGAAAAACTTTCTATATATTTCCTTTTAAAAAGTAAAAGATGTTTTAATTATTAAATACAAAATGGATCACATAAATGCAATATTTTTAATAATAATAGAAAAAAAATATTCACTATATTTTTAGTAAAAGAAATTTTAATCAAAGAAGTTTGCATGTCGATGAAGTAGCTATTCAGAAAAATTATAAAGTAAGTATAACGTTAGAAAATCAACGGTATAAAATAATTTGTAGTCATATAACATAGAATTATTACAATTATTTAAAATATTTAAATACTTATTAATACTGCTATAAGACTTTCAGAAATAAAATTGCAGGATTGCTTCACGCTCGAGTTTAGTATCGGAATTTTAGAAGCAAAGCTTATCTCTAAAAAGAAAAAAAAATTGCCTGCAAATTGGTGGCTGTGAAATTTGTATTTGACTTGTAACTCTGCCTCTTTCTCTCTCTCTTTTTTGCGATATAAGAATTTCGCAATTAATTGAATTAATTTTGAACAAAATGGTGGCATTGTCTCAAGATGATCGAATGATTTTCGATTAACGAATATACTTCTATCAAAACTATCAGCATCGCGTAGATAAATGATAAAAACTTTTCATTCTAAAATAATATAGATTTTTTAAAATATTTCATATTCGACATAATCTTAATACTTTATCAAAAGAATAAAGTATTTTCGGACTAAATGTATCGTAAAATAAACGTCCATTTTTAACTTATTTCAGTTAATATTATATAAATACATAATGTTCAAGAGATAGAAACTTATTATAATAAATATCATTTTATAAAAATTAATAGTCAAAGAAACATAAATAATAAAATTGAAGAAAAATTTTCTTATCTCATATTTTGTTTACCTTAATAAAAAACAATAAGCACAATCTAAAGACAAATATACATTAATCTGCATGTTATATACTTTTACATAATCTCTTTCTAAATATAAAAAGAATTATAAAAACAAGAAATAAAAATGTAGCATTACTTTTTTAAAAGAGGTTCTGCAAATATAGTTTTCAATTAGTGAACCTCCTTATTTATCAATCGTGAGTGATATATATATATATATTTCATAAGAAGAACCAAATTTAAAAGCAATGCTAATTCTGTTAATGTGAAAAAGAAATTATGATCGTGTATTCATATTTTAAGAATATAATTTACAAAATTTCATATGAATTATATATATAATAATCATATTATACATTATGATAAATTCTTTCAATTCGAAATTTTTTTTTAGCATCTATATATTATCATAAATATTTCATTATAGATATGTTTTAAGTTGTCCGTTTCCATTAAAATTTACTAATTAGTATTATTAAAATAATGACAGGATTAAATGTTAATTCGCGAAATATATTGCAACAATCGCAGATTATTATTATCTTTGGACTTAGTGATTATAAAATTTTAGATTATCGGAATATATTTCATAAAAAATTCTATTTAATTATTTATAAACAATGTATGTACAAAAATATTAAAAAAATAATTAAAAATAATTATTAAAAAAAAATTTCATTTATCACAATAATTTTCTTTAATATTTTTTAAAATATAAAAATACATTGTTGCAATCTTCTAAATTTATGTTATTTCTGTTATTTTCATGGCTTTAAAAAATTCTTTAATTTATATATATATTTACTTTTAGGATAAAGTAGAAACACATATATTAATATTAGAATATTAGAACCCCAGAAATGACTGTATCAAAAGTTCTTAATTAAGCTTCTTTGTTTTTTCTCTTAGCAGAATGTATAATTTTGTTATTTTTATTATCATTTAAACAATCAAACGCGTTTGCCAAGAATTAAACGTAACAATTTATCGATCTGAAATATCGATAAAAAAATGATTTTTAATGAATCTCAAAATGAAATAGACTTAGATATTTGATTCAACTTTGATACTTGCAATGAATAGTAGAAATGGGATTTATAATTGTTAAAAAAATATTTTTGCAATCCTGCGAAGAAATTGGTTTCGGTTTATAAAGAGCAATTCGAACAAATATAAACAAATTATTATATTTTTTTTGCGTATTATTATATTTTTTTCGCTGTTTACAATATGTGATATATATTATATATATTAATCCTTTCATTCCCAAATTTTTTGTATTTAATTTCTATTTCTAATAAACATTATTATTTAATATAAATAAATAAATGTTTCATATGAAATATTAAATATTTTAAATATTAAAAATTAGCTTATGAATGAAATAAAATATATATTTTTTTATATGCAATTTTATTCAATTTATGCAATTTATATAATTAACTTCTACTGAAATATTTTTAATAATTAAATATGATCACATAAAACTTATATGGGAAAGAAAGGATTAATGTGCATAATAAGTTTCTGAATTTATATATAATATATATATATATATATATATATATAATATTATATATATATTACATATAAATTTATATGAAATTAATAAAAATTATATGGAATTAATTTGAAAATTATAAAAAATATACTAGTAATATCGAAAGTCGAAATATTGATTGAATTTTGAATTATTCTTTATAAAATGCATGTTTCTTTAAAATTTATAGTATTAAAAAAAATATAAAAGAAATTTCAACAATAAGAATTCATAAATTTTGTAGAAAAATAATAAATATATATTGATTTCAATTTTTTAATAATTTATTGTTTTAAAATTTAAATTTAAACAATCAATAATAACAAAAATTACTGTAAAATTTGTATTCATTTGAATGTTTAAATTCTTAAACACTTTAACTTTATTCTAATATTCGAATTATTTAATATTTCAATTATTTTTGCAGTAAAAAAAAGAATGATCTAATTCTTTTTATTTAAACTGATTATATTTAGATAAATCGGTTAATTATAAAATTTGTGCCTAAAAAGTATAGGAATCATACACTTTCCCGATTGCTAAAGCAATATACATACATAGTTGTAATTTATTCTACTTAAGTATTATTCGAATTGTTACAATTAGATCAGCAATGAATGAAATTTCGTGCAGCGTTCTTGCGAAACATTTGATAAAATTGTATATCTTTATAAAAATAAATTATATCTCGTAAAATAATCTATATTTTAAATTAATGTCATGAACAATAGAATAATAGTAAATTAATTATTTGCAACAGAGGCATAGTATTAAACGTTCGATCAAACAACAAGAAAACTGCTCAACATGTTACTAACATTTGGAAATTATTTGATCAACGTTTCATGTTATGTAATTACAAATATCAAATAAAAAAACAATTTCTTAATTACCAAATGCATATATTTGCAAAATATAAAGATGCATATAGTGAAATTTTATTTGTTCGCATGCCTCTGTTTTTATATTGCATATCAAATTCTTTTGTTTTAATGTAACAAAATAATACGTAGCATTAAGAATCAACCAAATCACATATTAACAATTAGCGAGATATGTAAAAATAGTGAATAATAATAATTAATTAGATTATTTAGATATTTTTGTTTTTTGTAATGATATGTATAAAACATTAAAAAAAAAAGAAACTAAAATCTGATATTATTAATAAATTAGATAATATACATTAAAATGATCTCAACTTCTAAAAATTTCTAGTAAATTATTTTTTCAAATATATTCCATAAAAATTTTGAATCCTGTGATTATGTTCAATTATATATATATA